GACAGTAAGATGAACACACAGCCTGCCAGGCCATTTCTCACTTCATGAGGGCAGACCTTTCGAAAGGCTCCACAGCCACAATCAATGAGTCTCATTAAGTATAGCAATTTGTTTAAACTGTGTGTCGGGTCACGATGATAGAAAACAGAACACAGGTGGTTATAACCACCTATCAGTGTTGTCCTTTGTGTACTGTAATAAAAGTAAAAGATGTGAGAGATGTGTTCGCTGTCCTTGGGAAAGCTATAACTGATATTGCAGACCCATCTCTCTCTCCTCAGCCCAAGGCGAGGATGCAAGGCACACAGACAGGAGAAGGTGCATTTAAAAAAGAAAAACCATAGCGGAAGGTCAACATCCTGTGCTAAACGGCAGCTGTTTCCCAATGAAACCTGGACACCACCGTCCTAAACCAGGGCCGTCTGGTCACCACAACCTGCAGCAGCGGCAAGATCAGTTTTATTAAAGACACCAAAGTTACATAGCTGAGCAAGTAAAGTATTATCTTGAAAACCAAATTTGCTCAATGCAAACATTACAGTCACTTGCAAATCATTCCTAATTCAACACTTAACAAAAAAAAAAAAAAGAATATGGTGATCATCACAAATGCATTGAGGACATGCAGCAAAGGTTTTCTGTGGTGGGTTTGTGGTGAGGGATCCAAAAACTGCAGGTCACTCACTGGAAACAATCACATTAACTATCAGAAATACGCAAGCTCTATTTTTGTAACACTTAACAGTCAGTGTAAATGAACAAACCTGAGTCAGAAACCACAAGAAAATAAGCACAGTGTACCTCCGTGTTTGCTATTGATTATTAAGCTTTGCTACGCCGGAGAAGTGGATGGTTTCGAATATTCAGACACAATAATCAAAATATATTTGAAAAAAGTGGAACAGAGAAAAGAGGGTGAAGTCAGAGCGAAACATGGAGAAAGGAAAAGACGGAAACAGAGCAGTAGGTGGTTGAAGCAGGCAGCAAAGACTCCAGCAATGACGGCAGCGACCAGAGCAGCATGCCAAACCTTTGGAGTCATTTCCTGCTTCGTCGAAGACTTTTATGGAATTTTAGCAGCGTAGCTAACGTCACAATGAGGACAGACAGCAACAGGAGAGACAGTTCAGGCCTTCTTTACTCTATACAACTTCCTCTCCCTCGCTTTCTACTCTAATTTCTTCTTCTTTGCAGGAAAAAAATATAGTTTCATCATAAAATATGTATATATATTTATTTATTTTGAAAAGGTACTTTATTATGAGGCCACTTCACACATAATCTATTCATATTAAAAGCCTGTACACGCACATGACCATTCACTAGGTATACTGGGTGTATGCCAGTGTAAATAAAAAAAAGAAGGTTGGTTGCTTGTAGAAAATACTGGCAAAAAAGTAAAACCAGAGACTGTCTAACACGGAAGGCAGAAAACACAGTGGTTCCTGACAAACAAACTGCAACATTCAGTGACATATTAGTAAGGAATACCCAATAAACACACAAAAAAAGGATTATATCAAGAGGTTTGTCAGCCTCACTGCACTGGTTGGCTTTGGTTCTTATCAATGACAAAAACCTATCAGAAAGATAATGTTGGTCTCTGTCTGTGTCAGTGTTTACAAAAATCCCATTGCCCATTGACACTAAAACGCAATCCCACAACTTTCAGACTAGAACGGGGTCAGCAGGATTTTAAGGGGTGTTTAGGGGTCAGAAAATGCCAGAGCAGTGTGGCTACTAGCCAAAAGGCTTGATGTTTTCAGACAAAAAAGCATTACTGTAGATGTACCCGTAACAGAGCCAGGACAACCAGGACACGTCCACAAAAGTCTGACAAAGAGCAGGTGTGCTTAAAACATTTACAACCCTTGAGATGCAATAAACAAGTAAAATTGTTGGTCTGCAGGATGCAAGCTATTGATTTTTTCATGCGTTGACCCATTCTTGATCCATTTTTGGACTTGTTTGTATATTTTGCCATCCACTAAAGTGCCTGCAAAAACCTTTGCAACCTTTATGTATATGTTTGCAGTATAAGCTACTCATTCTGAGACTTTATTTGTCAGCTGTCTCTATAGAAATCAGGAATTCATTGTCTTTACTAAATGGCTTCTTCACTGTAAGTATGGACACAAAATACCTTTGCCACTTCTGATAAAACATTAATCGATTATGCACTTTACCCCAGTTTACCCAAACTAAAAGCTGCACAACTTCCTAATGTTGTTTGTACAATACTTGTTTTGCCTCCTAAATGGCGCAGAATTGCCTTTTAGAGAGGAGTGCAGCACTTTTAGAAAACATCAACAAAGTCAGAGAAAGCACCAATGATTGAGCACAATGGCAGGATGAAAGGATTAGATATAGGATAAGAGCAAGGGACGAGGGGTTGGTTAATCAGCTGGCTTTAAATACTGCTCTCCTGGAGTTTTGCAGGGAAATGGAAGCAGTGTCCGCTGCTGTGATCAATAGTGGAGTGCCTTCCTGGCATTTGTCTATTTAATCCATTATCGAAGGCCATCTGAGCCTGCACTGTGGATGGGAGACCTGCAGCACAGAGGAAGGGTTGAATGATGAAAGCAGGATGCATGCGGTTGACACACACCCACCAACCCACACAACCATACTCGCATGGACAAATACTACTAATAGGAACAAATGTATAGCCTGTTGTTCTTTGCATAACAGGCAGACAACACACACAAACACGCTCATAAAACTATTATACGTACTGCGTGTTCAAATATACCCTATCACAGATATTAACAAATGGTGCTGACAGCAAACAAAACGGTGCTGTCATCATTGTGGAAAGCAGCTGAAAAAACAGCTGAGTCAAAAGGTGGTTCCTCCTTTTTAAAACGCAAAAGACCAAAATACGAAAAGAGGAGGGAGTGTAGCGCTTTTTTCAATGTGAGACAGAGGCCTTGCTTGCTAACACTTTTACACCTGTGTTCTTTCTCAAAGCACCATGTGAGAAATGCTATCTATGTATAACCACTACGACCAAGCCACCAGCAAATCCAACAGCGAGTACCCGACGACACTTGAAGGGTGTTTAGTGTGCAGCACTCTCACTACCGAGAGCTGCGAGATATGGAAACAGGTTACTGAAAACATCTTGCTTTTCCTTTCCCCCAAACTCAGAATGTAATTTGAAAAAACAATTCATATTGTACACCAACACAGTAACAAAACGTCAACTAAGATAAGAAGTGCGTGTTCAAAGCAGCCAAAATTCTGTGTGACAATAATAGTGCATGCTGTCCTGCAAAGTGCAGTCATGTGGATAACTTATACTGTCTATTGGTTAATGATTACAGTGGAAAACAAACTCATGTTTAGGGATAGAAGAAAGTCCCAACAGTCTCCATAAACATGTTAGAAAGCACAAAAACATCAAACCATCAGAAAGCAATGTAATGCCACTACACAAGCTCTGCTCTACCTTGAAGTATACTTGAGTAAGCCAAATTACCTGCAGAAAGGTTGCTTGCAACATGACAGTATGGAAAAGATTCCAATATATTTTATGAATGTAAACAAGGCTGGAGCTACAGCACCTTTTTATTGTTTGATGGGATGTGACAAAGGCACAAACAAATATGTGAACCCACGTCCTCCTATTTTACAGCCAACATTGAGCTTAACAAATCAAAACTATTTTCAGTTGTGGACGTGAAGACCTCAAGTCACTGGATTCCTTAGGAGATTAGAAGAATAAAAGAATAAGTCATCAATGACAACATCCTTACGAACAGGAAAACAGAAATTAGAGATGGTGAAAACAAAAGATAGACAATCAGCCTTGATGCTGCCTTCGATACATGATGATTTAACTGTAATAAAACTGGTCTAACCTAAAACCTTTTATGTTATGATATAAACCTATCATATCCCATGTATGAAACGTAATGACGCACAAACACCAACAAATGTTTGATGTCCTTTCCGTATACTACATGGCCAAGAAGGTGAAGAAAAGTTAACTCAGAGAAAGCGACACAGCCATGCCTTGAGTCGAGTCGGAGCAGAAAGACCAATGAATTCATCTCGTCCCACGCTCGTCGGCAACACTTCCCTCTCCTAGCAGAGATGCCACTCTGCACAGTCGACCACAGCGAACAAAGACCTCAATTATGTGGAGCTCTAACAGGAGAGCTAAAAACAGTACCATGGGCAGGGAATAAAACCTTGGAGCGCTGCAGGAATTCTGAGCATTCAAGCGTCGTCAACACACAACAAACTGTCACTCCCAAATGGCACTGCAACCACCACCACCGCTACTGACCTTTCTGCAGACTGCATGAAACAGGGCTGTGTTCAAGTGGCTGGAACAGAAGACTCTTATGCTTACTTTCACCCAAACTTGTCAAGTGCATAACTGCAGCTACACAACAGTGCATGAAAGAGTGGGGGGAGGGAAACAATGTATGGTTCATTTTATACCTTGGGTTACTGACCCATATATGCTGCAGGGTAACAAAGAGCAACATTAAGCCCCGTTTGAGCTGGTTGCAAGCAACTTTTATTCTCATTAAGCAATTTGCACAGGCAAACCAACAGGCTGCCCTTTATTTTCAAAAACAATAGCAAACTGTGTCCAGACTCTAAATGATCCCCTTCCTCTGACTTTCATTCTGATTCCTAAATCCATACTTTTAAGCTGTTTTAGACTTTGCCCATATAGAGTTTGTGCTTTCACAAGAAGAGCTGTGTTTCTGTGTGGACGCTCACATCTAATTTGAAGAGAAGTAGTATTTACTGCCCAGCAAACATGAACAGATAACACAAATCAGCCACATGTCAGAAATTCACCAGTGGCAGGATGACACAAGGAAAGGTTTATTACAACGGGGAATACATCTAATTATGTATCTGCTGATTGACTGTGGATTGCTTTCTTGTGTTAAGACCACGCTGTGCCTGTTTATTACACTTTAGATTAGCTGATTAAAATAGTCACAACCACTCCAGCAAGCAGCACACTCGCATACCTAACTTCTCCACCAGTTTGAGCATGACTCCACCGATGTGGATTTCCCCAGTGACCCTCAGCGACACGTCCCTGTAGAGGTCGGTGACATGAATCTTCAACTCCCACGTCCCGTCGGCATAGCAGCCATCGGGCATCCGGATCCCATCCAGCGCCATCCTGCCAAACAGAGCCAAAGTTTGAGGGACTGAAAGAGAGAGGGGGGCAAAGGTCTTATCTAACCTTTGTCACGCTGATGTGAAGAGAAGATTTTGGCCACTGTAAGTAAATGCATGTGTTGCAACCCCCAATGCATGCTTTCAAGACCTTGAGCCTGTTAGATGCTTCAAACAGAAGGCTGATTTCCTTAACATGGGTACATTTACTTTAGTAGTTTACTAAAAACATGTTACTTGCTCAGTTCTTGAAAGCACAAACCTCCTGTGCTTTCAATTATGACATTATCATGTCATTAGGGTGAACAACACAGGCATTTACAAGGGACAGGGGGTATTTTGAGATACAATTGGTGCCCATTGTGGGGAAATCCAGGATACAGTGTTTCCAGTGGAGTGTGCAAGGTCACTGTGGGAAGTGTTACCTTCTGTGATTAAAGAGTTTACCGATTGCCACAAACATCTGAATGTTGGTATAATAGTTAACCCCCATTCAGCCACTTTTTAATTACTTCTTATGGCAAAGCTGTAGTTCTGACAGTTGTGGTGAACATTTGACCCTTGGAGAATGATTAAGTGAAGCAGGACGGAATTAACCGTTTTTCCATCGCGCCACATCTCTCGCTGGGAAGAAGACGAGCTCTGCTGTTGGAGGACCGCCAAAAAGTTACAGTATAGCCAATTTATCATTCCTTAATCGGAGAGTGTCCGACAGATCAAAACAGCCGTCCAATCAATAAAAAAACAGAACAAAGGCTATAGTCCCGAGGCTACAAGTTAACCAGAGACCTTTGGCAGCGGTTATTTCCACAAAAGTGCCGGTTCACCTGTTAAAAATAACGGTAAAAGCAGCCTTACAAATAGGCAGAGAGAGGGGGAAATTATGTAAGCAGAGCTCGTACAACAAACTACCCGGCCCCGTGTTGCACATTCACCGAGTCGGTCCGTAAAGCGGTACGTTCAGAAGAAAGTGTTTCTAAAAGCAGACAAGCCTCTTAAATTAGCCGGAAAAGTTATTAATATTGAACGTTTTATTGAACGCAGCACAAGCTGTAGGAGGAAAAGGAAAAAGGCTTTCTTTTTATGTATTTCACAGCAGAGAACGGGCACAGCTTTGAGGTCAGCATTTAACTCTGAACACTCACCTTCACAAAGACGAAAAAACGCTGAAGCAGTCGTCTACACGGTACAGAATAAGTCCCCCGTCCTTAAATCATGTAGAAAGTCTGTAAAAAGAATAAAAAAAGAAGAAAGAAATCCCCGAAGAACTCGCTGAAGAAGTGAAGTATCCCAAACTGTTTTCCCGCAGGCTTCGGCTTAATGGAGTCCAGCCTTCCCCTTTCCTCCCTCCCTCTCTTTCCAGCAGTATAACGTCACCGTCACTTCTCCAATCCCACTTTTCCTTTCATACTGGGAGCTTTTCTGGTCGCGTACTGGTCCCTTTGTCGCCTCTCACACACGTAACACTCGAAGCTTTCAAATGATTTGTGTGCCTCTGTGTGTGTGTGAGAGAGAGTCGCCTCCCTCCCGATACTTTATGCGACGTTGTAGAAATGATAATTGGCGTGACATTTAACTATTACTTAATTAAAATGCAATAAAACAGGGTATTAAAAAAGGCAAAAATAATAGCATCAAAATGAACTTAAAAGTAAAACTGCGGTGCTGATAGATATACAAGTACTGTATACATATATATAGTACAGTATTTTAATATTTTTAGTAAATCCATGATGGAAGAAAATCGTGTGTCTATGTGATTTTCATTATGTATTTCTGCCTACTTTAAATAGCTACAGATTGGAGCCTTAAGCAACAGGAATAAAAAAAAATGTACTTCTACAAATATATCATCTTCCTTATTCTAGATCTTAAATGCAGCATATGAGACATAAAATCCAACAGAATGGCTCAGGTTTTAAAAAGCTGTCTGACAAATCTATACATTTATTTGACAATCACGCCATCTAAAAATATAAGTCATGTGTGAATGTGAGCTATATGTGCAAGCTGTTTTATTACAGCTTTGCTTTCTGGAATAAGAGATTCATCCGTTTCTGGTAGTGTTATTAAACATGCAGTTAAGACCTCAAGCTACCTTTTATGGCAATAGTGCTGCTGAGCCTTGCATCAGCATCCAGGGATCTTTGGTTCTTTAGTTATGGGAATAAGTGGACAGAATAACAGGGAATTTTGGTTTCATCACTTTTCCAATGTGTTTTTCCAAAATCCCACTTTACTGATAGCCATAAATACTGTTATTTTCTTTAAGTGAACACTATTTCAGCCAGTCGATTAATATGAAGTGTGGAAATTAGCCAAGCAATGCGGATCCCTCTGTTCTTTGCTGACACTGAAACATTTGGCTGTAAAATTTGAGCCTGTGAAGAAAATTTCCTCACAAATATTTATTTTTATCTAATAGAAAATAATATACAAGAGTATAACGCGTAAAACTCCAGACAAGAAATCTAAAAAAGAAGAAATAGTTCAGTAGTGAATAAATAATCTTAATTAGATTATCCAATTCCACATCACATTACCTTTTGTAAACTATATTTAACTGTCTCTAAACCACTAATTACACTGTATTAGAAACTAACTGAATTACAGAAGCATCACATGTTGAGTGCTGATAAATCATCAGTAACTGCAGAGAAAAGGGAACACTGGAAGCTTTTACACATGCTTTCTGTGAGGTGATCAAATGAAAACTTTGGGGGGGGGAATCAGAAAGCCAGCTATCTCCTTTCTCTACAGAGCAGCAGAACAATACTCGCTCTCCAAGTGAGATGCAGTAAAGAGCCATGAATCATCAGTGTTTCTGGCTCTGTCTTCTGATGAACTCACTGAGCTCCAATCCTCCAGCTCAGGAATCTGGGCCTTCAGACTACGGTCGGCATCAAAGCGATTTATAACCGCTCTCCTTGCAGCTCCGACCCCCTCGTCAGTGTCTGGCAGTCGACCCATTGCCTTTTATAGGCTGTGTTTTAATTGCAGAGTAAACATTTGAGTCAGCCAGATGCAGAGCAGGAGAGTCAGATGGAGAGCTGGCTTGGCTGCTGGTGATGTGGATGAGGACAGAGGAGGTAGAGTGGAGGAAGTAGAGCAGTGAAGGAGGTAAGGGTAGGAGGTAGCGGGGTGCTCAGGGATTCACATTTATTGGGTTTTTTTTGGCATTTGTGGTTGTAGATGGCTGTAGAACATTCCATTTTTCCTTAAGGGCATATAAGCGAACACAACAGAGCAGTCACGAATATATTTAAGCACATTAATACTGCCAAAAATAGCTCAACTAGGTAAGAGCAATAGATGGAAATGACTTAAGAGGAAGGGCACTGGACAGCTGGTCACTGTGGTCCTGTGTTTTTGAGTATTATCATTAGGTGACCAATGACTGACCTCTTGTGGTCAAACACAGAACAACAGGGCCTTTTGTGAGTCACCTCTGATCTAACTGGTCCCATCTGTGAGCCTCGCCTTTGCAGATGTTGCTAAACTGCATTAAACTCGCCCCCAGTGGAAGCCACAACAGCTTTAATACAATGCAGGCTATTCACAATCTATAAGTCGGCTTTGTTGTTCACTTCAGGGGGCGCCTCGGAAAGAATCTGGTCTGAGTTTCAGATGAACAAACGCTTCTTTTGTCCTCAGTCTGGAAGTGAGAAATGAAAGCATCGTCCTCCTCCACAAAAAAAGTTTCAAATCTCAATATTTTCCTCCGATTATTAAAAGTAAAAAAAGAAAGAAAAAAAAGACAGTTAATTAAGTACTGATTACATCCAAATTGGAATACTTTATAAAAATGACATTTATACAGTGTTTTGGATGGCAGTTAGAATCCAATACAGGCATGAGTTATTGCACAGCTCCTGGGACATTTCTCCAGATCACCATATCCGTCATCATCCCATTTCATTCAACACACCCACAGTGAGCTTTAATGTACATCCATTTCCCCGAAAGCCATTTATAAGGTCTTTACTAGTCTGTGGACACCTGTGCTAAACTGTTTGTTTAATTATGGCTTTAATCTGGTATTGACAAGAGTGTTGAACCTACAAAACATGTACAAGCAGACATTTCCCTGATACTTGTGGTATCTTTGACAAAAAATAAAAATTAAAAAAATGTATTGTTGTCATTCAAACATCAAAATCTCATACAGTGAAACTTACAGCATATTTTACCAAAATTATCTTTAATGCGCTCCAGTTTCTTGTCTGTGACACATTTGAAAATAAGCCTAAATATGAAAATGTGCAAATTTTCACACATGTTTTAGAAACAATGTTATTGTTACAACTATGTATTTGCTGTGTTGAAACTCACAATGTTTGACTCAATGAATGCAAAGCAAGAACAGCACTGTATTTGAAATACATATCCAGATTGTTTTATGCACCGTAACAGACGGGAAGTAAAGAATAAATAAAAAGTCAAAAACGGGCTGTGTTAAAATAGTTTGTGCAATTTATAGCCCATGAATGTTCAAGAGCCACCAGATCAAATACAGTAACACTTAACTATCCCCCTCCCTTATTAGACCCAGCTTCTGCACTACTTCCTGGTTACCTATCAGGTGATCTCCACAAGGCAGCCTGGTTTAAGTCAGTAGGCCTTTGTACACATAACACAGAAGTTAAAGAAACAACAGTCAGCGACAGCCCTTGTGTGGCACAGTAAAGCTGCAGCTTGCACCATAACAAATTCAAAAACAACTGATTACTGCATTACAATAAGCAGAACACAAGTTAAAGTTGACAATGACAGAAAGGCTCGTCTGTCACATAAATATTTACGAGGACAGTTTCATTTCATAATCTACAGCAAATAAAATCTATTCATTAGAAAAGCCAAAAGCAATCACACGTTTTTAGACAGAATAAAGTTTCTTAGATGTGTGTTGGCACGCTGCATTATTCTTGTCCCAACAATCCATTTACTATTAATTTGACACCATGCAAAGTGAGTAAGCACTAACTTGTGCTGAATCAGTACTTGGAATTATAGCTACAATAACCCCCATCAGTACTACTATTATATTTTTATATATATAATTTTATGATTTTCCATCATTTGTTATCCTTCTTTTCAATTTCAACTGAATTTGTAAGTAAACGATCGAGCTAGCAAAGTGTGAACTGTGGACAAAAAAAAAGGCAAACAAGACATTCGTTTTTATAATGAAGGTAACGTTTAAAAATTAAATAATCTACTCTACTTTTTTTTAACTCCAGGCCAACCACAATTTTGCCTTAGCATTAATTGAGCAGGGCATCTAATAAAGGTGACACATACAAGTTATTTGGCCACAAGCTCAAATCCCTTTTTTTTTCTGAGGTAACATCCAGTTTAAGATCCCCAAAGTGTCTGAAAGTTACTAGGAAAAAATATTTCTGTATTTGTTTTAAGAAAAAATACATCTAGTACCAATGATTCATCAATACAAAGCCACGCGGGCAAAAATCATCTCCATAAGTTATCCTCGAAATAGAAGCTTGTATTGAGGATGAAATAGTGATATTGTTTTGAGTGAGTATTTAAGATTTAGATTTTAGACTATGCTTTAGATCTCTACACTGTAAGAAAATAAGTAAATACAATTTAGTCACTGTGTTTGTAAGACACATCTGCCCCCTTGGTACTGCACTATTTATCTGTGACGATTAAACACAAAGGAAAATGTTATTTGTGCAGTAGTCTATTTGTGCAGTATAAAACTAGTGTTTTACTTGGGCTTTATTTGGTGCACTCTATTTCAAGACTCAAATAATTGAAAATTTAAAAAAAAATAGAGGGGAAAAAAGTACCAAAATAATAATTATTATAATAATTTGCCAAAATAATATGATTTAATTATAATGCATTATGTGTCTTTTATGTGGGAAAGTAAAGAAATATTATATATTACACATTGCCTTTGTTTGCTCCCATGGGTTTCTTAGCATGCAGTAGCTAAATATTCAACTTGAAGAAGAGAACTTTGCCAAAAATGTTCTTTTCTTTATGTTTGTGTGTGCGCGCATTTGTGTGAGACAGAGAAAAACAAACAAACAAAAATATCAGACATAACTTGACACCTTAGTGACTGAGGCTTAGTCAAATGTGCCCTAAAGTTTCAGACCGAGTCTGTAGCCGAGCAAATTGACTTAGGTATTGTTTTACATGAAATCGATGGACATGATAGACACAGTTCAGCTGTCGAAATTCACACTGGGAATGAAGTTAGAAGTCTCTTCCTCTGGGTGCAACAATCACCTATGCATCAGTGCTTTTGCTCCTAAATAAGAGTTCCTGGTCCACCGGATCCACCATCAGGGTAAGCAATTGTGCAGAACGTAAAAAACAAACAAAAAAGATGAAAAGTTTGGAAGAAAGTTCTGAGTCTGTAAGTAATGATTCCCAAGTATTAAAAGTGCTTGATCGGGAGCCA